CATATTTAATTAAATGATAAGAAATTTAATTAATTTAACATTACCTTAAACCTTCATTATAAACATTAATTAAGCATTAAATTATAGTTAAATAATTACTCAAATAAATTATAATATTATTATGTTACATTATATATTATGATCACTTACTTATTAAGCATTACAAGTTAAATGATTACATAATTACATAATTAGTTATGAATTATAACATTACATTATAAATATTAGTAATTTACTAATTTTATATTATTACATCTTAATTAAACGATTAAAAATTTAATTAATTATAACATTACTTATTATAAATAGATTACTTAATCAATTATAACATCCATTATAAACATTAGTATATAATCAAATGATTTTAAATTTAATTAATTATAATATAAATTATAGATTTATAGTATGTTACTTAATTCATTATACATTACATTATACTATTTAGTATGATCATATAATTAATATACATTACTAATTAAATAATTACTTAATTGATTATGATTATGAATTTTTTAAACATTAGTAATTACTAATTTACTACATAAACATTAGCACAATACTTAATTAAATGATAAGAAATTTAATTAATTATAACATTACTTATAAACATTTCATATAACATTAATTAAGCATTATATATAGTTAAATAATTACTCAATTAAATTATAATATTATATTTACATTATATTATGATCACTTACTTAATTATAGCATTATATAGTTAATGATCACATAATTACTCAATTAGTTATGAATTTATAACATTACATTATAACATTAGTAATTTACTATACTATTCATTACTTAATTAAACGATTAAAATTTAATTAATTATAACATTACCTTATATATTTATAATATTATTCTTATCAATTATAACATTCCATTATAAACATTAGTATATTATTAATGATTTGAAATTTAATTAATTATAATATTAAATTATAGATTATAGTATGATACTTAATTCTTATAACATTACATTTACTTTATGTATGATCATATAATTAAATAACATTATAAATTAAATGATTACTTAATTGATTAGACATGTATTATAAACATTAGTAATTTACTAATTTCCACAATACTTAATCAAATTATTATAATTTTATATTATAACATTATATTATAAATTTATGATATGATTATTTAATTATTATACATTTTTTATAACAATATTACAATACTTAATTAAATGATTAACAATTTAATTAATTATAATGTTACATTATAATTAAATAGTATATTACTTAATTAATTATAACATTACAATTTACATTGTAGTATGATCACTTAACTAATTATAACATTACAATTTACATTGTATATGATCATTTATTTAATTATAACATTACTAGTTTCTAATATAAATTTACTAAATTGTATTTGATTATTATAATACCAAATTGACCAATTTAACATTAAATTAATAAATTAATAATATTAATATTTATTTTATGTGAATTGATGATAATTGTTTGTGTTTGGATTTTGATTGACGAATTTTATTAATTGTGATGAATTGATTAATTCAAGTGTTGTTAGAATTACAGGTTATAAGTTTCATTGGACACAAATGAATGAATAATGAAATTTGTTAGGGGTGTATTTGTAACTTATAAGGTGTTTTTGTTATTTTTTAAACTAATAGGGGGTAATTAATTTTTTACAGGGTACCCTGGAAAGGAACCGGAACCTGCATTTTAGGTTCCGGTTCCTTGAATTGAAGAACCTGCACTATGCGGTTCCGGTCTGGTTCCTTTTTTTGGGAACCTGTACTGTGCGGTTCCGTTCCCCCGAAAAATGCAGATACCCGAACCGCTCACCCCTAAATAGATGTTTATTCACATAACAATTCACAAGAACTCAATATAAACAATTCAATCAATTAAATAAAATTCTCTCTCCAAATATATTTCTCCATACTCCGACTCTCTTCAATTATCTCCCTTGTCCTCTCAAAGATATCTCTCAGGCATCCTCCAGCTCTCTTCAATTGTCTTTCTTGCCTTCTCAATTCTAACATTTTCCTTGGAACCATTTAAAACTTTTATCTCATCTTAACCTACTTCAACTTTGAACAAAAGTGCCTATATGTTTCTTAGGACATCCTTCCAAGAATCATGATCTTTTCTTCACAAACTCCAACTTCTCAATGAGATATGAATTTTCAATTTGTGGTGTCGAACCTTAAGTTGAGTCACTCATCTTCAAAGGATCTAATGTAGGATGGGCGTTTGCCCTGGCCCCGCGGGATCCGACCCAACCCGACCCGAATGGGGCGGGAATCCTCGAAAATATCAGGGATAGGGCGAGGACGGTCCTTAAAAAAATCCCCACCCTTGGGGATGGGTCGGGGGAGGGATTGTGCAATCCTTGCCCCGGCCCATCACCCCGCCCCTGTGGAGTCCCCCTTCTTTATTGAGAATTTTTTTTCTTTGCGAATTTTATATAAGTTAGAGTTTAAATTATAGTTTTAATAATGAATTAAATTTATGATATTTACTTTTATAATACTTTATATTTTTTGTATTAAATTTATAGAAAATAATTTAAACAAGGGATCTAATAATTAAATATGTTTATAATTAACAGAGAGTCTAAAATTAATATATGTATTATTACTTTGTGCATTTCACAAATAATAATACATGGCCCAAAAATAAATTTGATTAGATTATTAAATTCCAAACCAACATAAGAATATACACAATTGCTTAACGATTTACAAATTACACAAATTCAATTATCTTTGTAATTAATTAATGGTCAATCAAATATATGTTAAACTTAATCAATGTTGGGAACTTGGGATAACGGGATTTGTCCCTTTCACAAATGGACTAATTTTATTAGTTGTAGATTGTTTTATTAATTAATCATCATTTACCTAGTAAATAAGTTAAGGTTGAATTTAGTTATTTAATTTTATAAAAAATTAATTAATTAACGGCTAACTAAGCCTACCCTTTATACAATTGAAGAATTAATCAATTTACTTAATAAATTATGTTAAGATTAGATAAAGATACATTCATTTTTAGAAAAATATAATTAACTGGGTTGATTAAGCCTAATCGGCTAGCCTTCGTACATTAAATAATAATCACTTAATTGAATTTAGTTATATTAATTTTATGAAAAATCAATTATTAACAGGGCTAACTAAGTCTAAGTCTCTAACAATTGAATAATTAATTAATTTATCTAATAAATTATGTAAGATTGATATAGATAAATTTAATTTGTTCGGAAAAAATTCCCTAGGTGAATTTCCCCGCAAGCCTTGTTCATCGGGCCAAGTCGGGGACGTTCATGAGAGTGTGTCCTCGGACAGCGGACGGCCGTCATGGGAGTGATATCGGGGACAGGACGGAGAATAGGATCCCTAGCCCTGACTTGGCCCGCGCCATCCCTAATCTAATGATTTTTCTTCTTCAATGAAACATCTTTTATTCGATTTGTTAGATCTTTACAGAACTTTGATCTCCTATAACTTCTAGGATTTTAGTTTCAGTTGATATTTTGACATCCCCTTAATAGGTTTCCATCAAAAAGTCTCTTACATTTTTTTTTTTTTTCGATGTTTTTGTGCAAGCAACCTTTCAAAAATGGGTAAATCTGCTGGGGGAGAAGTTCGGGTTCATGTCGGTTTGATGCAAATTGATTAGACCTGACAAAAATTGATTCCAAATGGACCAAATTATTGGGCCCCCATTTGGACACGATAGCCTTATACCCGATCTCAACCTAACATGTTTGGTTGAGTTGGGTCGTTCAGGTGCTATAATTTAGGCTGTTTTTTGGGCATAAATGTTTACTTTTAAAAGAAAAAGCCTAGACCAAGGTTAAGGCCAAATTTAATTTTAAAATACTAAGGACTGAAGAAGTTGAATACCCAAAAATTCACTTAAATGTTAAGGTTTTGATATAATTTATTACAAAAGAAAGTGTTTTTAAAAACAAGTAGATATCCTTCTTTCTATTGTAGAGCAGAAAAAAAAAAAAAAAAAAGGAAAAAACCACACAACACACACAAAATAAATTATATAAAACTAGAAATTGCCTAAAACAATTACTTTTCTAATATGTCAAATTTCCTATTCATTATATTTTTTGATCTGCTTCCATAAACACTCTAAAAACAAATCAAAAGTAAAAACGCAAAATTAGGAAAAAACATCTGTCTGATTTATAGGAGTGAGCATCTAAGTGTTCCATTGAATATGTGAACCTATGGATTTTTGAATCTTGGATGAGTTGACTTTGCAAGTGGAGTCAAAGGTAAAGGAAGAACAGAAGGAGATGGCACAAATGATAGTTTAAACCTCAAAGTTTTGATTGATTGGATCAATGGCGAAAGTGAAGAATGAAATTGGATCTAAGACGTTGAGAGGAAGAGAAGGTTGGTTTTAATTCTTAGTTGTCTTATATATATATATATATTTTGTTAAATGGCTATGGATCGGGTCAGGTTGTTCGAGTTTCCCATTCAACCCGACACACGACCCGATAGGATCATGTTGGCACCTAGACAAGATAATGCCAACCTGATGACTATGAAGACCCGACTCAACGCAACAGCCAACAGATTTGAGTAGGTCGGGTCGGGTTACCAGGTTAGTTGACCCGATGCTCACCCGTCGTCTACCACTTCTTTAGCACATCGATAACGTTTTCTGCATGGAAAGAAACCTTTAAATATTTTTTATGGCATCTGTCAAACATTCTTTTTACTGCTCTTGTGTTAATTCTAATTGATCAATTGGTAGAGATAGAAAGGCCTATGCATCAGTGTTTAGTCAAACTAGGGAGGTAAATTCCAGAATCAACGGTAAAGAAACAGTTGACAAAGCGTTAATTTAACCATTGACTAAAGTTAATAGCCTAATAGGAATAATAGCTGTGCTAAAACAGTAAAATAACAGTAAAGGGCAAAAGCGTCACGAAAAGGTCTATATAATCTTAGCATCCTTTTACTTGCTCCTTTACATACAGCTGCCTCAACTTTTCACTGTTCACTTCTCTCTTTGTTTCTTCGAATCTGATCTCATTCTCTTCACTCCTCTTCCTTACTGTAAGTTTATCTTTATTCTCTCTGTTTTTGATCTTATTATTTCTTGCGTTTCTTTTCTTCGTTTTGTTTTATGTGAAAATTTGGAGAAAATAGAAGAGAGAAACGGTAGTTGTTGCGATCTTTTGGTTTATGTTAATTTCTCTTTCGTTTGCTGAGATTGTTTTGGCCTTATTTTTTAAGTTTATGATATTTCTTTTTGTGTTTTATGCTGATTTTGAATTAGTGGATTTATGTTATATTCTTTTAAATTGTTGATCAGTTTTATGAATTGAGGAAACTAGAACATATATCACGATATGCTTTATAGTTTTCATTTTCTTTGTTTTATTTTTTCTTCTTATTTTTCTTGTTGACTAACTTTTATTCATACATCATTATTTTTTATTTTTTGTTTCAACGTATCTGAAAATAATAATCTTGAGATTGGAACTGAAATATAGCATAAAATCAAGGTTACTATCGTTTGGTTTTCTCTATCTTGTTTTTGTATTTTCTTTTGTCGCGGCATGTTATATTGATTTTTTGGAAAGATAAATGTGTCAAGAACATTTTATTTGTAGATTCTGCTTTAGTTCAGCAGAGGATAATTAACAAATTGCTGAGTAGGAATTTTACCTAATGGATTGTTAGTTAGTGAAGAAGATTTGTCTGGTTGAGGAGATTTTGCCTTCGATTAATATATGCCTATTTTTTTTCCTTCTTCTTGCAGGAAATTGGGATATATACATCACCTTAGAGCAAGCTGTAACCGTGGATAAATTAATAGTCCAGAAAAATAAAGCAATATGCCTTGGTTGAGTCTTTCAGTTGATGTTTACCGCAGAGTTGTGCACTTGAATTTATATTGCAGGGTTATTCTGTAAATTTTTTACCCTTTTGTTTGAACCTTAATTCTTAAATCTAGTTTTTGTTGGTTCTTTTTTTAACAATTCATGGGACTCAATCAGTTTTTTGTCCTTTATTGTGATAATTATAGGGTTAGTTAAATCAAGACTGAATCAGATCTATTTTCAAATTTAAACTTCCTTTGTTAGTTTCTGTTCTATCTAATATAGCCTTACGCCTCATAAGTTTAGTTGGGTCTGTTATCAATCTTGCTCGGTTCCATACTTTTACATTGTAGGATATTGGTTTAGTGTCTTTTCCTTTATTCAGAAAAATTGAGTTGATTGTTCAAGGGTGTAAAGAAGTTATGGTGTGCCAAGCAGCCAGTCAGACAAGATTTCGAGCGTTAAAATATGAGAATGGATTTGCTGGAAAACCAACAATTATAGTTAGAGTGATAGCATGCTTTAAACCTATGGAGGATTGCCAGGTTAGTACTTGATATCTTTCCAAAGTTATTGTTTCATTTGATACTTTCTATTTTTAGTAGATTGTTTGCATACAAGCTTTGATAATTAATTTATATTTGTTCCTCTTGTTAATCAAGACACTATTAGTAACACCAATTTTTGTTTCTGTTTTCCAGGCTCAGTATTTTCGTCATTTGCTTAAACCTGTCACGTAGATTAGTCCTACTTCCGTGTTAATACTTTCAAGCTGGAATTCTTAGTTTCATCCTTTTTGTCCTTTGTTCCTGAAATACTATACAAGTAATTGACCATTGCAGATATCAGCACCAGCCATCTTGAGGTAAGTTTACAATATTTTGACAGTTTATCATAGCAAATATGTATCTTTATTCATTCTTCCAGAATTTGTTTTTGAGAAATCATACCTTTTTCTTTTATTATTGACAGGTTATAGTTTTGGTTGGATGGTTAAGGCCCACGAATCTTGGCTTTATTCTCAGCATTCTACTTGGCAATTGCCTGATTTGAATTGCATGAGTGCATCACTAGATCCTGGGCAACCAGAGTGTTTGCCACCATGTATAAATCCTGGTACTTACATGTTTTCTTCTGGAAATACAGCATTGCGAGAATTTGCAGTTCCTGGACTATCAAAATCGAAGACAGAGCAAACATATGGAGCTCATAGGTTGCTTCAAGTTTTGCCCCCTCGGTTCCAGGCTGTGGTTCCTGAGACGTACCCAAATCTCAGTGAAAGGAAATCTGCTTTTGCTTTTGGGCTCAGTGGGGAGGCCAGACCTAATGATATGTTTGGGTCTTCACAGAAGGGATTCTTAGTTTTTGATCAGTCAGGGAATCAAACACGGTTAATTTATAGTTCTGTCTGCCCTTCTGTCTTGAATCCACCTGCTTCTGTGAGAAAACTAAGTTCCTTTTGTGGTTTACATGAGGACCAGGCAATTAAAACGGACCAGTTTACTCCACTGAAGACTGTTTTACATGAAGAATCTGATGACAATAACATTAGTGGTGAAGAGAGTGAGATGCATGAAGACACTGAAGAAATTAATGCCCTACTTCATTCAGATGAAGATAGTGACTGTAGTGAGGATGATGAAGTAAAGAGCACCGATCACTCTCCACTCGCAATTGAAGTAAACAACAAGAAGCGTGGACATATAGTGGAAATTTCAGAAGAAGTTGCTAGCTCTGACAGCCCAAACAAAAGGCAGAAATTGTTCAATGGGGTGTACCGAAAAGCATCACAAACTGACACTGCTTGCTCAGTAAAATTGAAAGGAACCCATGAATATGACAATGACGTAGAATCAAGCTGCGCCAATGACCAGACTCAAAGAGAGGAAGTGGGTTCCATTTTGAGTAACAAACAGTGTAACAAGGATAAGATCTGCAAGACTTTAAGAATTCTGCAGAGTATAATTCCCGGTGTGAAGGGAAAGGATCCATTGTTGGTCCTTGATGAAGCTATAGATTATCTGCAGTCTTTAAAGCTTAAAGCCAATGCTTTAGGGGTGTAACTATCGGTAAGTTGTGCTCTTGTTCTCGTTGAATCCATAATAGTATGTTGTTTAGAAGGTGTAGAGAAGGGTGGAAAGGTATTAACCCAACCATTCTTGGCTTGAATGATTGATGAATTTGAAACCACTACAATAACTTTGGCTTTGTGGGTACTTTTTATCATCTATTTTTACTTTCTTTGTGAAGAGCTGTATGTAATGGGGTAATAAAAGAAAAAGGAAAGAAGAAATGGGATGAAATTACTCTTTCGGGGAAGAAAAAATAGGGTTTTGTTTGTTGACCAGGAATGATTATATTTATAAAGCTTTTTGGTGAGACTTATTAAAGAAAGTCACAAAGATTTGAAGGCATGGGAAGATTGATAGTGGTGGTGGTGGTATGTGTTGTAAAATGAGGAAGCTTTATTAGTAGGTGCATTGAGAACCTCCATGGATTTAGTGCATGCGCGTTAGGTAAACTTGGGACCCGCCTTCCACCTTCTCTTTCCTTATTGATGTTATGCTTTTGTCTTTCCCTTTACCCTAAATCACATCATGTTGGTATTAATCTCTGTAAAGTAAGCAGGAAAAAGGTCTACTGTATGGCCAAAGTGCAGAAGACTTGCGTTTCCATGCTGAATTGTTGGGTCCGGATGATCGAGTAAAAGTTTGTGGGTTTGCTTAACATGTGAAAGCTATGTTACTTGTCGATTATCACCATACTTGTTTATTGTTAATTTATGTGGGTTTTCAATAATTTGAGTGAAGTGTTTTTGCTTTGGCTATTGCCTGTTGTTGTCCTATCCTTTCTATGTTTTGTATGTTTGTATTTGTTCTCAACCAATGTAATGGTGATTCCCTTTATGGGAGAATTGTTGAGTTGGGAATAATGTGTTATTTCTATGAGTTATAGTTGTGATCAAGTTATCTATACATCATAATATGAGTATTAGATTCTGACATATATATTAGTTGTTTTACTGTTGGTAAAAAACTTTTTCTTTAATAAATCGTTTGGTTGTGTTACTTTTCAAGTGTTTTCTTATAGGAAATTATCAGAAAAAGGTTTTATTGTAAAGAAATTAAATGATTTTCTTTATTGGTATAAGATGATTTTTTAACTCAGTAATTTATATTTTTTTTTTTCCTTGAATTGTAATTGAATAATATATATATATATATATTTATTATATTATCATTGGGGTGTTCAGGTCAGTTTGCGTGTTTTTCAACTAATCCTCTAGAGCCTTAGAATTGTCGGTTGGATAAGTGCGTTAATGGTCACCCTTATTAGTGTTTGGGGTTCTATCATCAGGTCATCTAATTGTGGTTTAATTGAATAATATAGAAAATCAAATAAGAGTTTTCAACATAAAATAGCTATTTAAGGCAATATATAATATAAGATTTACACACGACCAATCAATCTAGGAATCTACACAACTTAAGTAGGCCATTTTAACTAAGAGGAAACATAATTATTCCTCTGCAGATTCAGCATCTCTTTTAACAATTCTTTTGATAATATATCATAATACATCAAATATATTTATAATCTCATAGCATCACACTCATGCTATTAAATACATAAAAAAAAAAAAAAAACTTATGATACGTTAAGAATTGCATAACCACATTCTAAAATAATAACATGCTGTATTATTTTACATATTAATCCAATGATTTGCATCATCCACAAGCCAAAGTCAAATACGTAAGATTCTATTTTTTTTTTAAATAATTGAAGTCTAATATTTTAATAATGAAATTAGAAGACAGGAAAATAATACATTACATTGTTTTGGGCTATTCTACCATGCACTAAAAAAAGCAGAATACTTGCTTTTTTAAGCCTTATATAGGCTTTATGTTTTTGGCTGTTTCTTAACTGTTTGTATTTGATTGGTAGAAAGTGGAGAAAAAATTATGTAAGATAAAGTCTCAATTGCAACGGAAGCTTACTTTTAAAAGTGATGTACGTGTTATTTACTGTTCTTCATCTAAATAATACAGTCCCCATTATTCCTTTAATCTTTGCCTAATTAGATGATTACTCATAATTAACATAATAAACTAATTAGAATCATGTTTTCGAATATATATATATTACTTAATCATATGAGCTAATTAAAGAAGAAGGTTTAAAAAGAAATTTGCAATCAGAGGATATTGTGAAGATATGAATATTGATTAATTAGGAAAACTAATATTTGCCATTATGACAAATATTATGTTGCTTAATTATTGCTTTATTCAAGCCTAATTATGTGACATTACAACTTTAAGGCATGATATATGTTTGCCTTTTATAGATACTTATACTTGTATAAATTGACACTTTGTACAAGAACATTAATATACAAATATACAGAATTGTTATTCTGTTTCTCTCTTCTTTCTCTAAGGCACTCTCTGGCAGATTATACTGCTTCTTGGCCTCCTTTTTCTTCTTCTACCACTTTACTACTTCTTCTTCTTTAGCCTCTGACAGATATTAACTTTAATTCTTTCTGTCTCTTGATATCCATGGCATCAAATTCTTTTTGTTGTTTGCTTTGAAAGCATTTAATTTCATTATGTACCATATTATCATACTAGTGTGACAATCGAAAATTGTAGTTATTTATCTATTTTTACACATACATTAAATTATGATTATGTTTTACGAAAATTTTTTTTTTTGGTAAGAAACAAGGCCTAATAAAATTTGTTTACTGTAACAGCTTTAGCACACAACTCACAAGATAATATGAATAAAATGGCAACAAAAAGAAGAAGTTGGAAGGAAATTAGAATACAAAGCAGAGGAATATTAATAAAGTTAACTACCTTCAAGTAATTGAGTGGTTTGATATAGACTTTTGAGTGTATTACTCAAGAAGTCTTGAGTTCAAGTCCCTTATTGATTGCTAATAGAGGTATCAACTAGAACTCTTATCTGGTAAGTAGTTTTAGGGTTTGAAGGAATTAGTTGAGGTATACATAAGCTAGTCTGGATACCTTCGGTCATAAAAACAAAAGAGTAATACTAGACTGACAAACCCTTCTCGCCAGGGGCGGATCTAGCCCTCAATTTTATTTTAAAAAATACTAATATATATAATTTATGGATTTTGGCCCATTCTAACAAAAATATTAATGGATAAAAATATTAATGTGTAATTAGTTTTTATTTTGGCCCACCCTAACAAAAATTTTTGGATCCGCTACTGCTTCTCGCAAACTTTTTGTTACAAACGTAACGTGTTAGCTCACAATTGGTTAGTTTTCAATGAGTCTTGCCTAACCAATTATGAGCTAACCAATTGCAAATTGACACGTCGCGTTTGTGAGAGAAAGTCAGTGAAAATGGTTTGTCAGCCTATATATATATATATAAATATAAAGTTGCCTTACTTTTCTTAGTGTTTTGTTTGCAAGTGGTATCCTTTTTCTGTTTATTTATTTATTTAAACAAAGCAAGAGATAATAAATTTTTATACTTGTTCTAGAAAATAGTGGCAACCGGCCTACAATTATGTCAATACAAATCACACAACTTCACATTAGTTAGACTAACAACTCAAAGTTATAAACATCAACAAGCTTTGTATACGTTAAAGTTGCATAAAAACATTGAACTAAATCAATTAGTTATTTATCTTCAAATTTGTCAAACAATTTGTTATGCCTTCTTACTATTAGAATTAAGAGTCATAAAGGTAAGAAATTTGTATAATGGGGAATGGCGCATTTGACAGGTGGCTGGGAATTGAAGTTAACTGCAAGAGATGCTTCAATGGATCCGGTGAACGAATCAGCTCAGAGGAAGAGGAAGAGGAAGAGATCGCATGTAGCTTGCTTGGAAGGGTAAAATGAGATTAGACATACAAAAATTCATTCACGTGTTTTTATATGTTAGTACTTAGTAGGGATGTAAAAACTCTGGACTGGGCCTAGTTTTTTTTTTTATTAAACCCAGTCCCGGGCGAGGCTTCCAGCTTGGGTTTGTTTGATGTGATTAGTTTTTTTTTTTTTTTTTAATTATTATTGTTATAGAGCCAGGTAGGTACCAACAATTAGGAGATCTTCACGTGTTAGGTTTATCGATTACCTTGGCTTGGGTCATATGACGGATTTCATTGCAGCATATGATGATCTTTTTGAATGAAATAGAGACAATAATAGGAACAAAATATAATAGTAAAACAAATCAAACAGTAAACAAAGAAAATAACACGCGCGATTTACCCTGGTTCACCTAATATGGGCTACGTCCAGCTGAGTCAATATTATTGCAATATGCCTCACCTCTCTCGTTTACAATGAATGAATTGCCCTATGATTTGCTATCACACCCATAACAAGAGAAAAGTATGTTTATATACTAGGTTGAAGAGACTAAACCTAGTTTTACAAGGATTCATATTCCTAAGCCCAATCAAATAAGGAATTAGTAACTTAAAAGAAATCCTACAGCGGTTATACATGGAAAAGCCCAAAACTGCCTACGGGCTCAGGACCCCTGAGTGCTTCTCTGTTACCCATTAATGCTGAAGTAGTCAACAACTCCAACACTTTTTAGACTTCAAAAAACAATAAAGTTGTATTTAGGAGAGTTACTACAGCATGTTTATTGGTTATTGATATCCAATTCAAGTTTATTGTCTACACCGTTTTGCATTTTGTCACTCTGAGATTAAATTTTCATCAATATTTAAAAATGTCCCAGACATATCACTTTTAGAATTTTATAAGCAACATTTAAAGAAATAAAACGAGCACACAACTTTTTACATACTAAAATGTCCCAAACATACTACTTTTACAAAATTTAAAGCAGTAGAACTCTAACAAATCTTATTGATACATACTTGAATGTCTCAAACATACCACTTTTACAATATTAAGACAACAATCATTACAATCACTAAATAGAGGTTGAAGTAGAGGCACGATTACGACAACTTGATCATGATCCGCTTAAGACACGTGAACTAGAAGAATTAGGTATTGACATCAGACTCCTATAGTTTAAACTACTATGTCCCACAACATGATATCGATTGCAAAACCTTTGTTGAACCTCTTCACCTCTAGAGGTGATCTTGACATTTTCCAAAGGATGTCTTACTCGTCGCTTTATGATGATTTGTGGTAACACAATTCTTACATATTTAGGACAAATCCAATTAGTTTGATATCTAAGTGGAAATATTGATTCATTGTTTACGGTACGGAGTGTTTCTATTATGTTATACGGATGAACCCATTGGTGGTAACTGGAAAGTCAAAGGAGCCTCGCAACTGCGACAATATGAGCACATGATAGTTGTAATAGTTGAAATTTTTTGCATGTACATTTCCACTACTGTAGGTCAACATGAGCACCCGATAGCTTGTTGAGTCCTAATGTGTTTTGATGTGCCAAAACTGCTCAAAAGATTGTTTAAAGAACCAACAAATGTGCAAAGGTATAACATAAGTTATAACCAAAATGAAAATGCAGCTTTTCTAGGTGGAACGACGGTTCACGTAGATGGAGCGACCGTTCCAATAAGTCATTCTTGGAAAATAACTCCCAGTCAAGCCGTTCCAAGTTGGAATGACACAGTTCTATGATGCCGTTCATAATTCTGTCCAAAATGAAGCAAGCATCCCGTCAACCTAAAACTCATGTCTAAAAAGAATAACCAAACCGAACGACTGTTCCGTCAAGTCGTTCCAAACATCTGAAGACTTATTTGAAAAGTTTGACACACATTCACAAGTTCGACATTCTTTGTGATCTAAAGAAGGAATGACCAAGTAGAATGATCGTTCTTCTAGCCCGTTCCACATGAATGATGTTGTTTCATCACATCGTTCATGGTTTTGGAATCTTGAAACTCTTTGTGACCTGGAGAGGAACGTCCACTCCATGAGAGGAATGCCTGTTCCAAGTTTAAGTCAAGATTTTGGACTTATAAGATTTGAGCTCAAGTC